ATATTAAGAAACCACTTTTACTACTGACAATGAATATTTTGAATGTGGAAGAAAGCAGGTAATCTTTAAGTGCATTATATCTTGGAAATAAGGGAGGAAAAATAGCCACAATGAATTTCCTAACTCGATTATTAAAGCACAGTTATCTTAGAAGAGACTAGAGAAGCTGTGTTCTATCTCTCAATAACCTTCACTGAAAGTTTCATTTAATTTCCGAGCTACCTCTAGTTAAAAAGAAAATTATGACTAGAATATAGCTTTAAAAAAATCTCATTTTTTTCTTAGTAAATTAAGTCCCTAAAGACTAAAATAGGAACATTAAGATATTGAATAGGAAGAAAATAATGCTGACTCCTATGCACAACCTCAGGGCATCATTATTTATAAAACACTGGAGCACTAAATTCTTGAGTGAATCAGAAATAGGGAAATGTGCTTAGGGAAACACACACACACACACACACACACACACACACACACACCAACTTACATTGTGACATTTGTGATGGATCTCCAAATTCAAACCACTTAATTGCAAGAATTCTTAAAAAGTGCTCAAAGCTTGATATAGTCAATATATTTGGAAATGATAAAATGAGCTTTCTAATCCCCTACATTATTTGTGTATCTATTGCCTATTCCATTTTTTAAATGACTTGATGAAGAAAATAAAAACATTTGCCTAAAGAACGTAGAGCCAGCTTAAATCTGAGCATTTAGTTTTTTTAAGCTCATTGTGACAAATGGGGGTTGGAAAAAGAAGCAAGCAAACAACCCTTAATAATAAAACAAATAAAAAAAACCTATAATCTAATGGCTCCAAGGTGAAGCTAGCCTCTTATTGAAAAACACAGCTTAAAACAAGTCCCAATATGTTGTTTTCTATCCAAAAGTTCAAAGCTGGCACTATGAAATAGAATACTTCATAATCACATATATATTAAATTTATATCAAATGGAGTTCCATTTCAAAGAAGCAAAATCAATGGACTTCAATGATTCTATGTTCAGATTCTAAATTTATGACAAACACTAAATCGATTCTCTCAAAACAAAGTCTGTCTTCAATATTTTTATACCTCGGTTCCAGTTGCCATGATACAATTCATATTTATATTACAATTCTATATGCTATTATAATCTCTCACCCACAAGACCGTCACATTTCCATTATTCCTGACATTAAAGACTATATTATAAAACTTTTACATTTATTATTTTCCAAATTACCATATTAAAAGCCAAGTTTTTTCATATTTTAAAAATAAAAAGAACATAATCATTTTTCATACAGCTACCCTTCATGGATGATTTGAAATTGCTTCTCTGAATAATAACAATAAAATATAAAAATTGTGTAATAGATCATTATCCTTACTCTGAAACGAAGGTGACAGAAAGCAAAGAAAGACATTTTGGACATCTCCATTATTCAGTACTATCTCTTGATTGATTACACTGGCTTACTATGGAAAGTAAAACGTGCAATGCATTTTCTGATTAACCAATCTATCCTCAGCCTGTCATGCTAGAAAATAATTTCAAACATAAGCATTAATTTATTAATAATGGTACATATTTCATTCTAATATACCTCCTTTCAACGGAACATTATACACATCTTTTTCAAATGCACTTTTCCAGTGGAAAAGTAATTATACAAGCATAATATCAACTTTGAGTGACAGGGCTGCACATAATTAATATCTACCATTATGGCTGCTATTGAAATAGTGTGGGCTTTTCTAGACTCCTCAGAATTTTAACCTACTCCTAATATTTCATTACAAATTAAATACAGCTTCCCTATTCATTCCAGTAAACAGTACATTCTACCTGTCTGTCAAATCGAAGAGGCCTTGAAATGTGCACCCACTGTATTTCCTACTAATAACGGCACAACTCTGGGTAAGAATAAAGGAAATGTGTGTGTTTGCTCCACTGATCATACAGGTTATTTCGATTAGCAAAAACACCTCAAGTAGTAAAAAATATCCCAAATTTAGTTAGAATTTAACCCTTTAGTAGTCATTTTAGTATTCTATTGCTTTCTGTCAAGCTAACAAACTATATGAATGGCTTATAAAGTCTGTCCTTCTGTAGAAGTTTAAAAAATATTTGAGATGACTATGTACACTTCCAGTTTATATTTAAATATACTGATTTTAAAAATCTCACAAATCATTCAAACTGTCTTAATCTTTTTTTATTTCCTCAATAGAATGACACAATCAATTAAAAATTTTTGCTCAGCATATTGCTGTTTTACCTGCCATATCAGGCACTTGAGCAATCTATCAATCACTGAATTTTATAGCAGTTTCTCTGAATAATTCCTACATTTCTTCCAATCTTTCTACAGCATAAGTCTATCTTCAACATCAGATATAGTACTCTGGTCCAATTCTAGTTTCTTGTTCCCTAAAGTATTCCTTTTACCCTAAGAGCAAAACACTTGCACTTTAGCAAAATCAGTTATATCAAAGCTTTAAATTGATGATCTATACATCAATTCTAAAAGTTCTCTAGGTTAAAAAAAAAAAATGAATACAAGCAAACAACATACAAATGCAGAAAAAATTGCTTTGTGGCTAACATGAAGCAGATCTAAGCTCCACTACACTGACTCAAGTAATTAAGGAAATTCAGCAGTTTATATATGGTACAGCTTGGGTGTCATGCTCTATTCCATTTATACGACTGTAATCCAAACACAAAAAGAATGAAATGAAGATAGACCAAATAAAGAAGGAAATTACACAGTACTTTCTTAGTGTGCCTCCCTATTCCTAACATTAATTTGCTTCTTATCTAATAGGGAGAGATGTTCATTTAATCACCTTTCTTTTCAAGGCAAGAATTCATCAAGTAAAACTGAATCTTTAAAACTTCCTTTCAAATGAAACAATTCTGCCATCTGCAGGTTGAATAAAATAAAGCAGAATAAAGAACAAGTAATTTAAAAATCAACGCCAGGGCACAGAATAATATTAACACTGCAGCTTTGAATAAAGGCAGCAAAAGCAATTTTTTTTAAATGGGTGCTTATCATGTAACTCTTCTTTGTTCAGTTAGTTATTTTGGTATGGTAATGACGCGAATATACATTTAACAACAAAAAATATATGCATAATAGTTTGAGTGAAAATAG